GCCTCCTGGATTCAAGCTATTCTGCCTTAGCCTTCTGAATAACTAGTATTACAGGCATGTGCCACCATGCCTGGCTAATTTTTTGTAGTTTTGGTAGAGACAGGGTTTCACCATGTTGGTTAGGCTGGTCATGAACTCCTGACCTCAAGTGATCCACCTGCCTCAGTCTTCCAGAGTGCTGAGATTACAGGTGTAAGCCACTGCATCCAACCTGAAATTATGATTTCTTACAAAATGATTGGTACCAGTGGAAAATAGAAAACGTGCTGAGAAAATGACATGTTCCATTAAAAAAACAGCTAGGATATATAAATTACCATGTTGGCTTCTATTAGCATTTAGCTTCTGTCTCTTGTTATGTAAAATGAGCTTGCTTTTGAGGAAAAAAGAAACAACTTAACGTGTTATGCTTCATTCACTTTGTTGGAAAAGACCTTTCCCAAAGTTCTTGTACAGAAGAATTTTATAAGACTTTCAGGCAATGGCAATTGGATTAAGTTCTGAAGCTGATGAAAAGCAATAATATTGTCAAGATGCCAACTCTAATGCCATCATCTATATTAGCGGTCATTTTTCCACTCTTCTCATCCACATCCCATTGTCCAAACCCTTTATATAGGCATACATATTCTTTCTCTTTCTGCCATAATTCGCTCTCTTCCTCCCTTAGTCCTGTGTCTCTGAAATACATACTTGTGCCACAGGAGATATACTTTAAAGACCAGATGACTAAATTGCCTCATGCAGGGTTATGGCTCAGTTACTATAATGTTTCTTTATTTCCTGTTTATTTTCATTTTTTCCACAGTCATGTGGAAGACCCTCCCTCTAATGGTTTTGTGGCCTAGAGAGTTGATGCTTCAATATTATGTTTGAAGGAGTGGCAGAAGGAAGAGGGCAACAATTATCTGTCTGCGTAAGAAATATGACCTTTGCAATGATTCATATGTTTTTAGTTTGAAAATTAACTGATGCCAAGATAACTACTTGCTGAATATAGTAACTATAGAAAAATTGGTGGTCCATCATTCATTCCTTTCACCCTAGTGGCTTCTGCCATCACTTGTTAATGTGAATTTTAGAACTTTTGGCAATATAGACAATACTTCTCTGACTAGTTTACCTTTTTCTAAATCATCTTGCATTAATTTTGGATAATAATAGTTCAGCCTAAGAATCCCATCAAAATTTGTTGGGTGAATGACTCAATCTATTGGCTATAATCTTTTAAAAAGAAAATCAAATATATTTTCTACTCTACCTTTCTTTCTAGTCTATAGAGTATATTATTATTATCACAGCTAATTGTTCTGCGTTTCAACATGATAACTTTGCAAAGCACTTTCATGTACATGGTCTTTTTGTAAGCATGCTACCATTCTGTTACAGGCAGAACTTTTCTTTTATCAAATAAACATTTGATACCTGCAATGTGAAAGATATATATCCAGCTCTCTACTACCTTTTGCCACCTGAACATCTTGTTAAGCATCTCAAACTTTCCATGTACTGTACTGAGATCCGGATCTTCCCAACAAATCTGCTTCAACCAAATCTCAGTTGATGGCAACTCTAAACTTCCAAATGGAAAGGCCAAAGCTTTGGAGTCAAATTTGACTTCTCTATCTGGAAATCATGCTAGCTGCACCTTTAAAATACATCCAGATTTGTTCTGGAAGTCTGTGGAAGCTTTGGTGCTAAATCATTGAACGTTCTATATACATTACTTATTAATTTAATGTCTGTATTTCTTCATGAAATAAGTCCCATGATGGCAGGATTTGTGCCCATTTTGTTCACTGCTAAATCCCCAGTGCCTGGAACAGTGCCTAGTATATTTATTGGTCAGAATATTTGTGGAATGAATGGATGAGTGATAGGCTCACAGCCTGTGGGAACAAACAGGCCAACAGTCAAGCACAGCAATGTGCTCAGTGCTATAATGGAAGTAGACAGTCATGGTGAGAAGCACTTAGCTCTGCATTGAGATGTCAAGGAAGGCCCAGAGAGGTGATACTTGAGCAGACTCTGGATAAGAGTACACATTTACCAAGGAAAGAGGAGGTGAGGGACAGAGGAGCCCAGAGGTAAGGATAGCTCTGCCCATTCAGGGGAGGTCTAGGCCCAGCTCCCTAAGGGCAGAC